ATGCATTCATCTCTTCTTGGAGCACCTCAACGCACTTTAGATTTTTACAAGCCTAATAATGATAAATTTTCTGAAGTATAAAATTTTTTAATTATATATATACAGGTTATCGAACGATTTGCTTGTGCCGCACAAGTAAATCGTTCGGTAACCCACGGTACCCTCCTCTATTGTAAAATATATTTTTTCATCGTAACTAGAGATATTTTTACTTAACATTAAATTTTTTTGTTATTAAATTAATTAATATAGGTTACTCAAGATGATTTACGGGCATGGATTATGGAATGGATCATTCTCGAGGATCTTTCCTTTACAATAGTAGAGGGTCAAATCAAAAATATAATCGAGAGAATTTTGAAATTCCGTGTTGTATCTGCAGATACAATTAAATGCGATATAATAAAAAAATATAAAGAAATGCAAACTAACGTTCAATTAGAATTACAAGAAGTTCCAGGAAAATTTGCAATTTCTTTAGATCTTTGGACTTCGTCTGCGATTAAGGCTTATATGGGCATTATAGTTCACTTTATAGATAGAGATTGGCATCTTTAACAAAAAACTTTGGATTTCATTGAAATGGAGAGTTCTCATACAGGCATAAATATTGCAAATGAATTAATTAAAGTTCTTGAACTTTATTAAATTGGATCCAAGGTTATATAATTTATTTTATTAATTTAATTTATATACTATAAAATTAATAAAATTTATTTAATTTTATAGATTAATGGAATTACTTCTGACAGCGCTTCTAATAACGATATGATGGTTTATCATCTTGAATCATGGGCAATTAGAGAAAATATTAATTTTTCTACTGATAATCACTTCCGTTGTTTTGCTCACGTTGTAAATCTTGCCATTCAAGTTGCTTTAAAGCAGCTAAAGAATGAAATTGATAAAATTCGAAAACTTATTATTAAATCCCGCTCATCTCCACAACGATGTCAGAAATTTTCAGAAATTTCAAATTTAAATAGTATTAACTTGTCACCTATTCTTGATGTTCCAACCCGTTGGAACAGCACATACATGATGATTCAGTGAGCTTTAAGTTTAAAAGTGGTTCATTTTTTATTTGTTATTTTATATTTAGCCGACATCACATATGGTTAGGGTTAGCTTTTACGTATTAATAGATCTATAAAGATTTATATTAATATACGTATGTATGTATTAATTCAGATTTAGTTATGTTATTAAAGGCATTCACTCTACGTATGCAAGATGTCGGCTAAGTGTGCATCGATACCTACAGCTCATTTTAACCAACATCACATAGGGTTAGGGTTAGCGTTTTATTGTTGTATTAATAGTAAATTGTCACCCGTGTGATGTTGGTCAAATGGGCTTTAGGTTAAATGATGTCAGTTAAGTGGAATGAATCTGTCAATGGTGAAGTAAGGCAAATTCATATAACTAAATTTATTTTATTGTTTTTTATAATAGGTCTTTGAAAAGATCTTATTAATCGAAGAATTTTCAGACCTAGATGATTTAAAATTAAGTCAATCTGACTGGAAATGTCTTGAAAATATTGCAGTGTTTTTAAAATGTTTTGCTAAACTTTCTACTGAAATGTGTTCCTCTTTATATCCTACAATTAGCGCAGTATATCCTATGTATAATTATCTTATGGATCATTGTGAAAAGA